AGCTAGCAAGGTTGACCCCTCCCCATCTGCTATGTGTTAACATGGAAGGAACTGCACATTCTTGGCTAAATGAGCTCGGGGAGGATTGAGGGGGAGGGGAAGTGTACACTTAAAAAAAACATTTTTACAGACCATTGATGAGAATAATCTAGAGTGAAGATCCAGAAATGAGAACACTAGGGAGCAGCAACCTTGGGTACACGGAGGAGGCAGTGGGTGTGTGTGCTACAGGTGTGGCAGGGGTGTGTTCTGTAGGTGTGGCAGGTGTGTGTGCTGCAGGTGTGCTTGAGGTGTGCATGTGCTGCAGGTGCGGCAGGTAACAGGTACGGGAGGGTATCCATTGACTCAGGGCACCTAAAATCCAAAGTCACACTGGAGGCAGGAGCCCATGACATATATGGGGCAGATTTATCGCCAAAGACGCTCAAAGCAGGCAACAGTTAAATTTACCGAAGCAATCCTGCTTCAGTGCAGTTCAACTCCTCGTTGGCAACCAGGTATGGGAGCCCTAGACTTGAAATCCCAGGACTCCAATAGGCTGACACAAGAGAATCGCAGTGAGGTCAGCATTAGCCTGAGTTACACAGTTCTTTACAAAGCCAATCTGGCTTACATGGTGAAAGCTTGTCTCAAAACTACGAAAACAACAGCAAAAGTCCTAACTGGGTTGATGTGACAGCTTACTAGCTGTCTAACAGAAGAAAAATACACTGTCATCCCTGGAAGAGACATATCTACTCTTGTATGGTCTTTATGGTTCTTTTAAATACAATACTCCAACACACATACACACACACACACACACACACACCAAGTCTTATGCTCTCTCCATGGCATCCAGGTTCTATTAGGATTTGGGGAGTTTGCTTTTTGGCATTTCAATAGTTTTGTTTTTAAATTACATTTATTTACCTGTTTGCGTTGCGGGGGTGGGACACGTGGAGGGCATTCATGCCACAGTGCACCTGTGGAGGTTAGAAGGCAACCTGCAGGAGTCAGCACTCTCCTTCCACTACAAGAGTCCTGGGGGTTGGTTCAGGTCATCAGGCTTAGCAGCAGGCACCAGTTCTCGGATTTAGTTTTTAATGAGTCCATAGAAATAGCTCATAAAAGGCTCAAGTGGTAAAATTCACAGGCAAGCTCTTTGAAACAAGCGATGAGAAAATGTTGAAGAGGTTAAGGGAAAAGGAACAAAAAAAAAAAAACAATGTAAAGCACAGGACTCAGATGGGGAAAGAATCAAGAAGGCTTAGGAGAGAGGAGAGAGAATGAGCTCTGTGGACTGGATAACGAATCTCCAAAAGGAAGGTATGGGCTTGGGAGTGCGCCATCGGGGAAGAGAAGGGTGTACGGAGCCAGAGATAAGCAGTGCCAACCGAAATTGTCCAAGTGGAGGCACGAGGAAAGAGAGGAATAAAACATAAAACCGAACGAGGCTCAGGAAGCAAGTGCAGGGGTATTCTACCCTGAAGTCCCGCGGTGGGGAAGGTGGGGAACCAAAGAGTCAGGGAGGAAGAAACGTTTGAATAGAGGCCGCTAAGAATGAGTGTGACAAAACTGACTTTTTAAAAATGTCAGTTCACAGCCAGGCGGTGGTGGCGCACGCCTTTAATCCCAGTACTCGGGAGGCAGAGGCAGGCAGATCTCTGTGAGTTCGAGGCCAGGCTGGACCGACAGCCTCCAAAACAATACAGAGAAACCCTGTCTCGTAAAAACCAAAAAAAAAAAAAAAAATGTCAGTTTACCTGCTAAAACACCTTAGGCAAAGCCAACCAGGGTGAAGAAAAGGACCTAGAACATGGCTAGAAAATAAATGTAAACAGAGAAATCTCTAAGGGGTTTCTTAAGAACAAAACATTATTTTCAGGAAAGCCACTGTAGGGGATAATGTGCGAATTCGAATTCGTTAGAAACAAGGGAAATCACGTGATGTATCTTTAAAACACAGCTTTGAAAGCATCCTGGTGTTAAATTGAGTTAACCCTTTAAACTCCCATCTAAACTCTGGAGGAATGGAGCTCCACTGTCAGAAGCGTCTGCTGTAGGAGGTATGTGTCCCCTCTATACGTTTCTACACACAGAAACTTCTGCTGATTAATAAACAGGACAGCTGAAAACACTGTAAAGCAGGACAAACGCAGTAAAGTCATGCTCTGTGAGAACAACCTTGGGTCCCACTACACCTCAGGATCTGAACAAGAATATAGATTAGCTCACTCACACCACTAATGTAATTACCGGTGGTAATTTACAATGATGCTGTAACTCTGAACAGACTAGAAAGAAAATGATGAGATGCAATTAAAATCCAGGGCAATTTACCTGGTTTCCACATGAATGCATGAGAGCAGGCTCATGAGCAACACACACACACACACACACACACACACACACACACACAAAGATGAGAGAGTAGCAGTGAGTAGGGCACTCAGAGATCATAGTAATCCCAGAGTCTCACACAGTCCTAATTCTAAATTCAGCCTAGACTGACACCCAAGCTTTTGTCCTGGGTGAAGGACGTCAGACACAGGCTGAGAGCAGAAAATGCAGAAGATGCTGAGGCTGGTGTCCTCCAGGACACTGAAGTTTAGCAAGTCTTGGCTAAGTGTCCTTGTGCACGAAGGAGGACTCAGTTTGCTGTGATGGAAATGGGAGTTCTTGTCGAGGGCTTTGATCTGACTCTACTGATATAATTGATGATTCTAAGCTTCATGCCTACGCTGTCTTACAATTACAAGTCCTTCTTTTGGGAAAACGGTATCTTACCAACTGTAATACTAAATGACCCAAAGGAAAATCTTTTACAGTAATTAATGTAAATGCACGTTTCTAGTTATTGAAACTCTCTCACACCTATTTTTCTTCTCTCTCACTCCCTCCTCTGTCTCTCTCTCCCACCCTCTCTCTCCCCTATTGCCCTCCACTACCACCTTCTAACTATGATTTCTAGAACCTGAAGTATTCTGAACACAATGCATTATTCTCAAATGGAAAGACACAAGCACCATTATTCCCTACAATGCCTTCTTCTCTAACAGATATTTCTGTTGTGCCCAAAGAGAGAGACCCCAAGACTCCAAGGAATCACTGACACCTGAATGCAAGCGCTAAAAGGTCTTAATTCTAAACTAACCGGCTGGGACCTTCACTATCAGGAGCGAGTAAGCCCCCCTTCCTCCCGTCTTACATCTACAAGGTGTCCTTAAAGGGAAGGAGGAGGCGGGGAATCAGTTCTCCAGGTTACAGAGATTACTTAGCACACACAGTTTCCATACAAGGTCATCATGTAATGAAGAGCCTTGAAGAGGGCAGTAATTGTCACCTGGTTAGGTAAAATCAATTGGCACATTTGTGGTCTGGGGGTTCACAACCAGAGCACATCCTGTGATTGTGGGCTAGGGGCTAGCTTTACGACTGGTAGGGCAAGAGGCTGTCTGGTTCCTGGTCTTCTCAAGGCAAGGGGTTTAGCGGCAGATGTTGTTGCAGCTGCTGCTGGGTCTGAGCTTCTGGTCACGTAATCCGTAGTCAGGGGGATTTACAATTGGCAGGTCAGGTGGCCATCCAGCTCCCAGTTTTCTTTTTTTTTTTCTTTTTTTCTTTTTGGTTTTTACGAGACAGGGTTTCTCTGTATTGTTTCGGAGGCTATCGGTCCAGCCCAGCCTCGAACTCACAGAGATCCGCCTGCCTCTGCCTCCCGAGTGCTGGGATTAAAGGCGTGCGCCACCACCGCCCGGCTTCCCAGTTTTCTTAAGACAATGGGGTAGGGGTGAGCTTAGGTCCCCTTCTTGTGGGAACTGCTTGTGGCCTCCGGTCACCTCGCTTAGTTGGAGACTTTTATTTTCCCCATTACATTTCAATTTCAAGCTGAGTTGAAATGCAACTCAACTCCCTCGTGAAGTTGCTTTCTTTTCAAGTTAAAAACATTGTTTAAGGCATTTGATTTCCTTCAAAATAATCCAATTCACAGTCAGTATTTTTTTTTCTTCTTCCTATTCTGTCATGATGTTGAAGATGGGGAGAGATAGAGGATGGAGAGAGAGAGCTCATTATGATCACCACCAGTAATAGAGAACAAACTCGTTCTCGGGTCAGCTGAGATAACCATAAAACTTCTATTATTTGTGCTTGGGACAAGGCCTCATGTGGTCCAGCTGGTCTTGAATTTGCTCAAGGCTGGCTTTGAGCTCCTGCTCCTTTTATGTTCTATGAGAAATACAACTGCAGGTGACTCCTCGGGGGCACTCCTGCCACTCTTCCCTCCGCCACCCTCCAAAGAAAATCTGTCTGAACAGCACAGTCCCCTAACCTTCATCAGCTTTGCCATTGCCTGTGTAGAGAATCGATCTTATTTCAGGGACACTGATATTTTGACTTTGTGAGTACAAAAGAGGAACTTATTCTAACAAGCATTCAATACTCCTACAATAGGTGAGAGTAAATTCAAGTTCAAGTACAAATAAAGACAAGTGGGCGTTTGGAGGCAGCAGGGTGAAGATGGAAAGGGAGTAAAGGGGAGCTGATTGAGATATCACAAAGGGTGATGCGGGAAATTAAGCCTCCTTAGACGTGAAGAGTACCTAGCAGCATGCGTTGCTAAGACTAGGTTCAGAGGACCCTGAGTGAAGCTCGGCCAAGGACAGAGTCATCGAAGAGTCACCCACTCCTGAGGCTCACTTAATACTAGATGTGGGGCTGGGACGATAGCATGAGCTGAGTTCCATCCCCAGAACCCAGGATAAACATCTAGGCATGGAAGCCCACGCTGGAATCCCAGCCCTGGAGAGGCAGAGACAAGTTAACACTGGAGCTTGCCGACTAGCCAGACTAGCCTAAGCAGCAAGTTCCAGGCCATGAAGACAAATTGTCTCAAAGAACAAGGTGAGACACTCCTGACGAATAACCGCCAGTGTTTTACCTCTGGCCTACACATGCTTGTGGAGACTCCTGAAAACATAGCCGCACCTGTAGGCACACATTCACACAAATAATGCAAGAGGTACTGCGCACATATTTATTTTTTTAAGTCCGGAATACCCGGGAGGCAAGAAGCAGGGGTGGATCTCTGAGTTCAAGGCCAGGTTTATCTACATAATGAGTTCCAGACCAGAGAGGGATAAATACTGAGACCCTGTGTCAAATAAATAAATGAATTAAATAAATTAAGTCTAGCCTGTAAGATTCCTCTCTATGCATAGGCTGTTATAAATGACTGTCACCAGTCGACACCTCTGAGTGAAATCTTTTAGCAGGATCACACCCACACAAGTGTCCAAAGGACACTTGGGAAATCTGAACTTCAGTGGATAGCAAACACACTTAAATATCGATACGGCACTAACCGTTTGCTGCCCCCTGTCCATATATACATATATGGACATATAATATGTTATTATATTATATTATATTATTATATATATTATAGTGGAAGGACTATATTATCTTCACTTCAGGGTTACAGAGAAGTTGACTGTTACAAAGCTTGTCCGAAATTACCCAATGATGACAGATCAGGATGTGAGTGAAACCTATGACTGAGCCTCTCGGTCGTGTTGGTGGGACTCTGTGAAAAACACACAGGACATGGAGGGGAAGAGCAAAGGGAAGTGGGATGGCGTCTATAGATTTTGTAAGTGCAAGTGTCTATATATTTTGGCACAATTTGAGCTCCTTATCTACAAAGTCCAGCGTGGCATTTGACAGGCAGCAGGTTATCAGTCCCTTCTTTAATTAACTGAATGACTGGCTGGTTGGAATTGTCTGTTCTGATCTCTAAAAAGATATGAAGACTCTCGTTTCTCAAACCTTGGTGTGCTGAAGGCTGCAATGGCAACATTCTAGGACCAGAAGGCACTGTCTGTGTGTCACAATATAGAGACGATTGCAGGTGTCCATGGGAAGCCCAGCCCACGGAGCCTTCCAAGCTCGGCCGGGGGTGAGCCGGACCTCAGGGAGGAGATATAATGGTGCAATGGGCCGTTCTTCTGGAGCCTGGCCGTGACAGCTGCTGCTCCTGGGATGCTGTGAGAGGCTCTCTGCTCTTTGGGAGGTGATTTCAGTTCTGCCACATTTTTCTATTCAGCCTTATTCACACCTTCTGGTCTCAGGGAAACACGGACACAGAGGGAACAAAAGACAGAAAGGTAAGAGAAACCTAAGCCTGTGTAGAGGCTCAAAGGTTGCTGCAGTCAAATTTGTAGGTGTGACAAGCTGAGTTGGAGAGGGGACACTGGTGTCTTTCTCTCATTTGCACACTTCCTTGCTCTCCACCATAGCACGCGTGCGTGCACACGCGCACACACACACACACACACACACATACACACAAATGACTAATTCCCTGTGTGATAGATGGAACGCCCCAGTGTTCTCCACTGGTTGAAAATGAGTCCTTGTTTTACCTTGTGCTGTGAAGTCTGAGTAGGTTAACTGCTTGAAGGTTAAGCATTTTAATTAAAACAAAACTGGAAAAATTTGCTAGCCTATATGCTGCCCTAATAGAGAGGGGTTCCTAGGGGAGAAGAAAGCTGTTGGCTGTAGCCTCTGAAATTGAGTTCTGCCATGAGGAAAATGCGTACCACCAACGCTTCCTTCTGGCACATCTGGGGCACATTAAGAGTCTGAGGTTTTTTGTGTGGGATTTTAAACACAAAGAAGAAATTGCAAGCGCTCTAGGGAAGAGTATGATATTTCAGTTTCATTTGATCATTTTATTAAATTTTCCTAGAAAAAAAATCAATTAAAGGTCAGAACTTAGTTTTCAGACCCAAAGCACAGATTATATATTCCAGCTTGTATCTAACAATGTAAATTTTTTTGTCTTCTTACGAATTAATCAAGTTCAAAGAACTCAGAGGGCTGATTGCTCTTACTCTAGTGGGTATGGAGAAATCAGAACAGACTTTCATTCCATAGAAATTTGGGTAGGATATGCTTGAGTTCTATACATACCACAGTGGTAACTGAGTAAACTCAACGGTAATCAGTTGAGAGTCTGTCTTGGCTTAAACTGCAGAGAAGAACTAACATCGTGGAATGAAAGCTGTTTGACCATATATAACAACTGGCGTGTAGACAGTCACTGGTCAGTTTCATTGCCTGGATGATGTCCGCCTCATCGGGTTGTTACAAGGACTAAACAGGATGGTCTGTGGATGTCTTAGCAAGGGGTTGGCACAAAAAAATGTCTAAGTTGCCACCGCAAATACTAGAGTTGGGGGTTGTGCTTTTGATCAAAGATTAGTTTGCAGGGTAGCCCCAATTGCATAACGTTCTAAGTAATCAACGTGAATCTTTAGTCCATTTGAAATCTGGGTGAAGGCCACTGGGTTCTCAATGGTGCTGTTTCTCGTGGGAGTCTGTCTCAAGGCAGGAGATGTAGTCAGAATCCATGGATATTCCTGGTCTTTCTAGTTAACCAATAAGACATCGAGGTAAACACTGATGTGGAAATCCAGTGTCAGAGGTTAGCAATAGCCCTGTCAGTCCCTCAACCATGGGGATCACAGCTTTGTTCAACAAATGTCACTTTAATGTACCTTCAGGCAACCCCTCCGTTTTCATTCTGCTTCAATTCCAAAAGCAACCATGGTTTCCTTCATTTCCAAGCTGACTAACCAGGCACGGAGGTGACAGTTTATGCCTTTCACCCTGCTCTCTCTGCTGTCTGTCTGTCTGTCTTATTCAAGGTCCTTAAGCCCTTTGGGATGCTCTGTGTCTTCTGCCATCTCCCAGAGTTACTGCAAGGACTGTAAGGGGGAAAAAATGATGCCATGGTGTGGGAGACATTACTTACACCACATAAGGGCTCAGTAAGTGCAACTGCCCTTATTTGCTTCTTTATTTCTGGGAAGATATTTGCACTCAGAAATTAGATGTCACCCTGGTTTTATTACAGAGTTCTTTTGACTCACAGGAGAGGAGCTGGGAGAAAAGGGTAATCCGATATCTTATTCCAAAGCCTAGTCAAGACCCCCGTGCTTGCTTTAATTAGTAACACGGGCTTCAGTTTAAACGTCCTGTGAGAAAGAGAGGAGGGTGGGAGGAGAGGGGAAGTGGGGAGAGAGAGCACAAGGGAGGTGCAGAGAGGCCGAGACTGACATGACAGCGAGTGCCTTCCTCTTCCACACTCATCAATGGACCAGATACCCTTGTGTCTACAGCATTTCCCCCCCAGGCTTTCTGTGCCATCCTTTTTCTAACATCCTCTCCCTGGAAATGCCACAACTTTTTATTTGTTCTGGACGGGTTTTGTCTGCCAGTCAATCCATTTTCTAAAATAGGTTCTACTAGTCAAGGGAATGTCCCAACAGTATTTTCTTGGCTAGGCAGGATGCAAGCATTGTCCCACTCGGGTAGCTTTAATGCTGCACTTAGTTCCCCCACAACAATTAAAATCTGCCCTGCAGTAGACTTAAGACTAGAACATAGTAATATCTAACTCCCACACACATTTTATTGCTGCGGTGGCAGCTTGGAAGCAGAAACAATGAATGAAGTGTGCAGCCACAGGCCAACCCGGTCTAGGCAGTTCCTCACTGAGCTTCCCTCTTCCCAGGTGCCTTCAGGTTGCATCAAGCTGATAATAAAAACTAATCAGCACAATTGGAATCCTTTGCTAAAGTCGGAAATAATCTTCTTTAAAAACAAATCTTTAGTACATGTATGTCTGTGTGCGTGTCGCGCACAGGCCGCAGAGGACAGCTTTGTAGAGTTGATCCTCCGGGTACTATGCTTCTGAGGCAACAGGAGCTCTTGACCACTGAGCCGTCTTACCAGCTCTCACACTTGCCCCACTTTCACTTTTCAAGCAGGTGCTTTGCTAACCTTAACCACATCTATTAGTAAGCAAATGTAGTATTATGCACGCCATATGTAATAATAATACGTTATCAAACAAATCACTGCCTTCTCAGCAAAAGAGTTTCATTTGATGTTGCTTGTCCTACCTCCATGTAACAAGCAGAATAAAAGGGATTCTTAAATCTTAAAATATTGGGGTAGTATCTTCTGGAAAGTGGAATTCTCAGCATCGCATTTACTTTGAAGATTTAAATACCAAGTAGGTTATCATTTCAAGTGTTACAATATCAAAAAACTTCCTATAGAAAACCTGCTATATAAAATGATGATTTTTTTACAATGATTCAGCTCGTAGCATATTTAACAGTCACTAATCTCCCTGCAGAGGAGATGTCTTATCAGCGTTCAGTACTAGAATGAAAACCACAAAAGAAAGTCTTTATGTCACGGACAGAAAATGCACAGGAACTATGAAAGGTTTTGTCCCCCTCCATGTACAGGAATTCTGATGTTGTCTATAGTTACAGTTTGACTTTCTTTGTGGATAGATCAACAGTGCTTGCTTTATTTTTCCTTCCTCTGTGTGTGTGTAAGTGTAGGTGTGTGTGCATGTGTGAGGTGAGTATGTGTGTGTTCATGTGTGTAGGTATGTGTGTGTGTGCATGTGTGTAGGTGTGTGTAGGTATGTATAGGTGTGTGTGCATGTGAGCGTGTGTATAGTTATGTTTTGGTGTGTGTGCGTGTAGATATGTGTAGGCATGTGTGTGTACATGTGAGTATAGCTGTGTGTGCATGTGTGTAGGTATGTGTAGGTGTGTGCGTGTGTGCAGGTATGTGTAGGTGTGTGTGCATGTGTGTAGGTATGTGTAGGTGTGTGCATGTGTGCAGGTATGTGTAGGTGTGTGTGCATGTGTGTAGGTATGTGTAGGTGTGTGCATGTGTGCAGGTATGTGTAGGTGTGTGTGTGTGTGTGTGTGTGTACACATGGAGACCAGAGGTTGGTGTTGAGAACCCTCCTCCACCATTCTTCCACTTCATTAAGTCTTAGTCTCACAATTAAATCCAGTTCTGGTGATGTGGTTAGTCTGGTGAGCCATCTTGCCCCAGGAATCCCCATCTCTACCTTCCAAGGCTTGGATTAGATGCCAGCAGAGCCGTCCGGCATTTGTGTGGGCTTTTGGAGGCAGAGTCTTAAGTCTCCAACAGCTTGATTATTCTTCCAGTTCCTGAAAGCTGTACCTGAAAGTATTCCCATCCCATAAAAGAGTAAGTTCTAAAACCCATGTGGTAAATAGCTTTGGTTTATGTCACCATGGCAGACTAATTCATATACTCTCCAGTCATCATGAACTGTGAAATTTGCTTTTAATTCTTTTTGATGAAGAAAAAAATCAAAATAAGACAAGGTATGAGTTTCCAGAATGAGTCTAGTATTTCTTATTTAATTCATACAAAAACCTAGAAGGTGAGATTTGGATTGATCCAGTCTCTCTGTCTCTCTGTCTCTCTCTGTCTCTCTCTGTCTCTCTCTGTCTCTCTCTGTCTCTCTCTGTCTCTCTCTGTCTCTCTCTGTCTCTCTCTGTCTCTCTCTGTCTCTCTCTGTCTCTCTCTCTGTCTCTCTCTGTCTCTCTCTGTCTCTCTCTCTGTCTCTCTCTCTGTCTCTCTCTCTGTCTCTCTCTCTGTCTCTCTCTGTCTCTCTCTGTCTCTCTCTGTCTCTCTCTGTCTCTCTCTGTCTCTCTGTCTCTCTGTCTCTGTCTCTGTCTCTGTCTCTGTCTCTGTCTCTCTCTCTCTCTCTCTCTCTCTCTCTCTCTCTCTCTCTCTCTCTCCCTCCCCCAGGTCTCACTCTGTAGCCCTGACCTGGAACTTGCCATGTAGACCAGGCTGGCTTTGAACTCACTGTGATCCTCTTGCCTCTGCTTCCTGAGTGTCATAATTACAGGCCCATTGTTTAGCACCACACCAGGTTTATGTGGTGTTGGGGATCAAGCCTTTGACAACTGAACTGCATCCCAACCTCTGTTTTTCTTTAAATCCAAGTTCCTCAGGCAGAAAGCAGTGGCCTCCTGTGGGCTGCTTGCCCAGCTGTGGAGGAGAGCTGAGACCTCCCTTCCCAGGCTCCCACACCACACTTCCTGCCCCTCTGCTCTGTGAGGGCCGGGTTCTCCTCAATAGTCCCTGCCTCCGTTTTCGACCTGTCCTACCCACTCTTTTCACTATCTGTAACTTAACCAACTTTCTAAATTTCACACATGCTGACCTTACCGCCCCTCCTTGTTCAAGGGCACGCTTAGCCTC